GCACTTTTCCGAGGGATGGAACCTGCAGTTTTCCAAACCATATTCTTTTCCAAATGTCATCCTGATAAATACGCTGAATGATCATGCATTAATGACGCATAAAATGTACAGTTTCAGCGGGAAACTGATCTTGCTAATTGTACCAAATTGCAACCGACTAGGTTCGTTTTGAAATGTTAAATGAACAATTATTATCTTCTTCTACAACTTTCATCGGTTAACCAATACTTCAGGCTGAACTCAGTTGTTGGCACCGTTTTTGTTAGTATTTCTTCTGTACTGTTCACGTAACGAAGTCTTTCTTAGAGAGTTAGTTTTGTTAAATCAACATAAATGAAATGAACACTGAATCAGACGTCACATGTCCTCACTGAAACATTTTATGAGGGTATTACAGAATGGCGGCACTTTTTCCTCAATAACCAAAATACTAAACACCTTCCTAATCCATTCCAATATCTCGCAACTGTTCGAAATCAGCGTTATTGATACGAATGTTTTCCTAAAATTATTCGAAGTCTTCTGACTATACAATTATTCGTTTCAAATGAATTTAAACCTATTGGTAAGAGCGCACAATTCGTTGCAGTTGATCAGTTCACTGATGAGAAAGAGGAAGCCGATCTCGAAGATAACAGATCAGCAATTACTGCGCAACGATCTCGATTAAAAGTCGTCATTGCTTCTAAGACGAAGCGATGAGTTGCGATCGTCTATGCAGGTAACTGGAAAAAACTGATGATTTTGAGAAGTGCGATTATGCAAAACAATGCACTCTTATCGAATTCATAGTGCACGCTCAAGCAGATCTCCACAATATGGCTGGAACATTTGCTGAAACCGAACAAATAAGTTCTCATTCGCCATTCATTTTGCTAAATTCTTGAGCTCAATCACAATGTGTTAAAATATTGCAGAGTTACAAATTTTTTGTGTCACATATCTGTTCTAAATCCGTCAGACATAAATGAGTATTTTATTATCTGGAACTTTTGGTATTCCTTCCGGTGAAAATACTTCATTTTTTAAGCCAAATTTCGAACATTCACTATTTGTCCATTTCAGAGACGCACTAAATGGAGATCTATTGCGTTGGTAATCGATCATTTGCAATTGCGATGTTATCAGTGTTAAGCTTCCGTGATCGACGGATACCAATCACAGTTGATTCTCTTCGGGCGAGTGCGTCACAACCAACATGAAATTTGTATTGAATCAGTGTATTTAATGATCACGTTCGATATTTATATCAAGTGTAATTGACTAGCATTCACGGTAGCATTCAACAGAATGCGAACGTAAAACCGACCGAGTGAGAAAGGAATCAAACGACACAGTAAATTTGAGTCTATCAAATCAACGAGACAGCACATATTCGGAGAAAATATTAAATATGCTCCAGTTGCTTGCATTATTTACAATCTGAACAACAAAACTTTCCATTCCTTTCATTTCTTTCCACACAACATTCAACTGATCTAAATCTGCGGCGAATAACTCGTAAGTTCCGATAAAATCTAACATAAGATAAAACAGTTAGGCATAAGAATAAAATGTTGACAGACAACATTCGTCATTCTTATTTCCACCTATTTGATTTTCCTTTTAAAGGAGTTACACAAAAGTTGAACGAAATTCTCATTAATGTCATCTTATGACAACAACAAAGCAATCAAAATGAATGAGAAATAGTCACAAAGACAATGAAACGATGGTTAAACATTTGAATGAAAAGTAAAATGAACGAAAACGCTGATGAAAATCATGGAAACAAATAACAATTATAGGCAAATAATAAATTAAAATCAATTAAAGTCACGTCAATCAGCAGGCGCAGGCAAACGACTGCTTTCTTTACGAGTATGTCAGAATACGCTGTGATACTTTGAATATTCGACATTCCCGGTTCCACAAATTTAGTATTCATCGAATAGAATGGCTAAAGGAAGCGATACGTTTACCACATGGAACGTCTGCAAATCACTAAACAAAAAAAGAAAATCAAAATAATCGAAGAATAATAAAAAGAAAGCTGAAAATGTGAATCGCCCTGGTTTGCCAATGGTTCGGTCCCCTGAAAAGCATGGTCGAGATAATCGAGAATAAGCCGTAAATAAGATTTAGGTGAACATACAAACAAGAAAACAAAATGCAAAATCGACTATCAATATGAGAATTTTACACTGGAGCAGCAGCATATTGAATGGGTGATAAAGGCCGAATGACTTCATTGAACTTTTGACACTACTTCGATCAACTACTGAACATGAAAGTAACTTAATTCTCACGAGATAAAATTATAAGAATCGAAACATTTGACTCGTTAAAACATCACTCGTATACGCTTCACTGCCACCAGTGAAAAATCAAACTGAACATTATCTATACAAACCGAATGAATATTCCTCGGTCAAAAACAATTCGTCGTATAAATGGAACGAGAATTAAAGAGCGTACGATTAATCAATTGTGAATGACCGAAGAATGAGTCTAACGTGCACTTGCAAGTGCCATAAAAACAAAACGGTTGAATCTTAGACCCAATGTGTTAAACACAACACTCTCATAACAACAATCAAATAATAATTGTTTTGATAATCACAACAAAAATGTAAAAACTGAGTATGCGTTCACTTACGTTTTAAAAATAATCACAAAGTCGTTCGAATCGATGATGAATATCAGACTGGAAACAATTCGAAGCATTTCTAGGAAATTCAAGAAAAACAGACTAATTACATTTTTCAAAAGATAGCCTTTACCTATAGAACAGAGGTCCCCATAGGAGGGAAATTGCCCATTTTTGGGTAATTTGGGAATGTCAAGGGGTAATAAAGGGGGTCGGGAAGCCAGTATTTTGTGCAACTGTTAAATTATGATGGAACGTCATTGTGACGGTAGCGGGAGGAGGGGGATGGGGTGTGGTAATGACGGCCTGCCAGGCCACTGAGGAGGACAATGGAGCATTCGAGTGTGGGGACCACTGCTATAGAAGATCCTATCAAAGCAGCTGGAATTAACTAATTGGTCCAGTGAAAAACATGTGAAGAATAAATGCATAGCGATAGAATACATTTAGCATAGCTGTGCTAGCTTGAGTGGCTAACGAAGTGAATTGGTTGCGAAATGATGGTGTTAAGAGCCCTGATGCCAGCCAAACGTCACTGTCTCCCTCAACTTCAATTCATTCAAACGAAAAACAGCCATCACAACAAAAAACAGCGGTGGTGAAGTTATGTGAACTGAAATACAAACAGCGACTCGCATACCTTCTGTAAATTCATCTGTTAATGCATTCAGTTCAGTTCAAAAATCGTTCGAAAAGCTGGATCTGCATTGGAAGTTTTAAATTCTCAGAAAACGCTAATGTTCTATCACTACTGCAAAATATGCATAAAATGGAAAATACATCGATGAAGACGCCCAGAAATAAAATTGAAACTTCGAACTATAGCACGATGAAATATCAAATTTAAAAAATTCACCAAATTATTTTTGATTTCTTCGAATCGAATATACCAAAAAATATAAATTTAAATTACAATTCGATTTCAACGTGGAATCACACCTGTATTCAAATATGCACAATGAAAATGTTGCAATACAACTTGCGAGAAGAAATCTGTGGAAGTGAATAAAGAAACGACTCTGCAAAGAATTCCTATGTGCAACTTAACTCGATATCCGAAGAGGAGTTTAATCAATAAAATTCTCACTTAACTGGAACTAATTTTAACAGCCATATTCACAGCTTAGAAAAGGTCCGTCTTTTTCGAATATGGCTGAACGTAATCAATCAAATTTCAATGAAGTTTTCCATATAACATTGGTTTAAGGATCGCTTTTTGAAACAGTAGCGAACTGGTGACCGTTAGTTAAATAATATTTTGAAAACTTCAAATATGCCATCATCAATGACTGCTGTTGCATACTCGCATGACTTTATTCACTTACAGAAGTTTAAGATTTCTAAACGAATATTTTGAAAACAATAAAAATAGCTTTAAAAAGAAGCTTTCCAGTGTCAGCATGGGTAGTGCGCATGTGCAATGATTTCTGTAAGCTAGAAACAATGTGAAATCAGAAAAGACGAGCTTATTATTAGCATTGAGCATTATGATTAATACAAATCAGCCACAAAATAGTAGACTGCAATACCGCTAAAAAAGTCCATTGCAGATGATATAAACTGTTAGATCAGACTTAAACTAAATGTTTCAGAACGAATCTATTTGAAGCTGACGAACGGATGAAGCAGTGATGTAATTGTAGTGATAAAAATAACTTGATGATTTCACGTAAATGTAGCATTCAACTGCTCACTTCTTTGACGGTTAGGAGAAAGGAAGCACAAGTTGTTATCACATAAAAATGCACGACTTCTGAATAGTGAATTGCTAGAGATTTGTTGATAAGACTGTGTGACGAATATCTTTCCATATTTTTCATTTGTTGATAAGATCATGACGAATATCTTTTCATCCCAATAAACCATACACCACGTGGAACAATAATAAAGGCAAGTTAAAAGCAATAGCCAATTATCGTATGAAGACAATAAGTTATGAATGAAAACAGTAAGAACTATTTATAGGCGCACAACAATGGCAGCATTGGAAAAGAAATGACTGAAGGAAAAAAATGAAAGCAAAAAGAATGAATTGATGCCTCGTGTATGCCCGCTTTTACATAACGCACTATATGTAGACTAGTTGATGAACAAACAAAAAATGAACAAAACTGATTGTAAAGGAATGAAGAAGTGATAGAAATCAACCAGATTAATATCACTGGAACGGAGAATTACTTAGTTTTCAATTCACGGTTATAATTACAGAATTCAATTCAATCAGCAGAACGCAGATTGCAACTAACTGAGCAGCTTATCACAGCGCAAAATTGAAACAAGACGTATTCTGAAGTAATATCACAATTCTCTACACAAGAAAAAAGTGCGGAAAAAAGTTAAGCGCACAAGTGAAATAATGACTGTAAAAGAATTATGTTGAGGATTTGTGTCGTTGCCTCCTCGACTGAGATTGAGCGCCATTCGGATGGGGCGGATATGGAGGTGCGGATCGCCAACCTCCATTTGAATCTCCACGACCCATTTCGTTAGAATGACCACGTTTAAAATCCGATAGCACTTCAGCGGACGATGAAATACGTCGCTCCACTGATGAAGACGACGAGCATGAAGGTTCGTCAGTCAACGTTGTTGTTGGATTCGTTGAGGAGCAACACGCACCTCCTCCCTCTTCTCCTTTCTCGCAATGTCGTATCGTGATGCAAACGTCACCGACCTACAATCGTTAGCGAAGAAAAAAATTCGCACTGAAATTCAAACAAAAAACCAATCTACCAAAACTCGTCGAAGAATGAAATAACAGATCGAAACGGAAACGAAAAAGTGATGCTCACAGCGAGCCGTTTGCACTGTAACCCGTATGTATTTCTCGTTCGCTCGGGGCTGCATGACGCCCATCCTTGTCCCACAACAAAGTACGGATGTTCTATGCCTGCCTCGATCGATACCTGAACAAAGACAGTGAAGAACGCTTCAATACCTTTAGAGATGTGAACGACTGAATGAAGCTGAACCTGAGTGTTGTGTTCTCCCACGGCAAACGTAACAAGAACATGGCGATCCTTGTCGACTTCCTGAATGCTAACGACTGTGCTGTTGCACAGGCTGAGATCGGATTTCATGGCCGCCGATAGCACAAAATCGCTTGTGCTCATCTCTTCAACCCGTTTCAGTTGACCCGACTGTAACCGTATCACTGTCCCTGAATTACGGCATCTTATTCTGATGCACGTACCTGAGTCAGGACACAATATTTGGATACAACGGTCCTAAATCAAGGTACAATATAAGAGCAGTTTCTTGAAGGTAACCCTACTCGTCCGAAAATGCGTGACTAAACGCGGAACCAATAACGCTTCAAATGGGTTACTGTATATTTGTTAGGTTGTTGCATTAAAGCCCATATGGGAACGGCTAAATTGAAGCGACACCATAGTGTAAAACATCCTCGACATCCCCAAGCAGAAGTGATACCAGTGAAGCTCTGACCCAAAAGTAGATGACTTTAAATGATTGCACGGAGACAGGCGTTCAATGTCTTCAGATAGCAAGTCGCGTTAATATGTTAAACACATGTCGATATTTGGATCTTATAGCAGGCAATTATTATTCAGTGATTCGTTGATGATTTGAGACTATTAAAGACTGACTTTTGAAATATATGAACAGCAAATATGACGTAATTTAAACTGAATAACCTCGCATAAAATGAGAGGGGTAGTACGGCTGTGAACAAAGTGTGCCCATTTCGAAAGGGACATCAGCGCTTCGCGCAGGACGTTGATAAGGAAGAGCGGACGGCCTAAAATAATCCCCTCACTTGACAAAATGATGAATGAATGATAAATAAAACGGAACGACCCCAATGAAAAATGATCAGTTCAGCTAACGGAAACTAATCGCTTATCGTTTCCTGACGATAAAACAATACTTTGCCCACTATAACCCTCATTCAACAACGATTTCATCACCACATCAGTCGAGATTCTTATAATTGATCCAAAAGGTAGGCAAATCGAAAGTACCTCAAAAATGTTACGATATATGATCTGTTTCCGATTTCCTCTTACATGTTTTCTTATTGAATTTAGCCAGAAAACTATCTCTCACAAAAATGTACTGTTCAGTTATTGGGCATGCATTGCTTTTGCCGAAGATTATTAGGAGGAATGGAATATAGTTTACGAATGATGCGAAATGGTTTGTACCTTTGACGAATTTGGCTAGTTGATGGAAGAGATAAAGAGGCATGTCGCGAACGTGGTATGGGTGGTGGAGGCATCAAATTTCCCCGGTTTTGAGCTGCAAATGAGAACTCCGTTTTTATTGCATTACTGAAGCACAACTTTCTGCAGAAAATGACTGATAATAGCTGATGATCGCATAATATCTCATCAAATGCACGATCAGATTGGTCATTCATAGACATTCCCGAGAGAAAATGGTCTCTTTGAGTTTCTGATCGAGAGTATATGCGTGTTGCGACCTAAACTAATGGAACATAGCCCTGTTCAAATTAAAAAGTGATTAATTCAAAGGAACGAGCTGTTACAGTCTCTGAAAAGGCGAATCAAGTAACTTTTGCACAAATAAAACAACAAGAATCATCAACCGCTATCTTCTTCGCTGAAACAACATTAATGGATTCACTAAGGAGGAAACGAGGAAACTAAATGACCGTATCGAGAATGTAGCGCAGACGTTGAAGGAAATGTACTGCTAGAAGAAGAACCCGTAAGTGATGAGCTGCTTTGACGTTGTGTTAATCTGGAAAGCAAAGACTGTTGACTGCATGAAGCCGAATCCGAGAGCGTTCGACTAGCTAGCGTTATAGCTTGTGGATTCGTTGGTGAAGTAGTTGCCGTCGAACGCGACTGCCCAGCTACCTTGAGACAACCATCATTTGATTTATGTCTTGAACTAATGAATGCAATATGTTACAGTTCGCGCTGAATTCATCACTGATTTAATACGTTTTCGTTTGCGTTATTAACAGGAATGTTCGAACAACCACGATCCCAACGGTATATGACATTTAACACATTTTGAGTTCCGAAAATAACTACCCATGTGATTTCAATGTTGACTATCGGTGCCAAACAATTCAGCACCGCACTGAGGGCAACAAGAACCGTTGAAAGTGATGACTGTGAATTAGAATTTGATGAAGAAAGTAATGAAATGTAGCTTTAAAATGACACTCATGAACATGATAGCTGTTAAAAGTGAACCTGTCCGATAGGTGATTGAGGGAACGAAGCAGCGATTGCAGCTTGCATATGTGCGGGAAGAGGGGACGGAGTATGAAGGGGTGAAGAGGGCACAACATGTCCCGAGGCAGTTGCCAGTTGCTGTTGCTGTTGTAGTTGCAGCATATAACGTTGCAAATTAGATTCGAACGGTGCTAATGGAGATGTGCTCATACGGTTCCCTGAATGGTTCAACAACATATCAACACTCTGATAAAAAGTACTCACCTCATTTAGATCATGCAAATAATTCTGCTGCTAAAAGTATGCGTTAAAGAAATGCCACAAAACGGTACTTTACTCAGCTTACAAGACCTATCATATTGCATTGTTGAGTAAAAGTATATTTTCGATTGAAGAACACTTGTATTCTCATGTCAATTTCAATAAAATGTTTCACTGTTTACCATAGTTTTACCATATCTGCTTATTTCTTACGTTTCATTAAAAGGGACGAAAATCTTGAAAACATTACGGTTCTAAAAGAGAAAAATCATTTTGGAGGATGCACAACTTCCAACAATTTATTTCGGTCTGACATTCGAGATAATTTCGAACATTTATCACTTCAGTATCCCATTATGCAAGTTACGAACAAAATGATTCATAATAATTACGGCGAACACTCGCAATTTCTATGCTCCGAGCTCAGCAAACCACGCTTTTTCGTCTAGAAAACACCCATGCGAAATTTCGCTCCGAAAAATTGGTTGGAGAAGTCGCTGAGTCTAACTATTTTTTCACATAACAGTAAGGCGCCTGAGTATAGTGCAGATGGCGCGACCTTTCAAACCAGGTTTTTGAATGAACTTTTAGAGAGGATGTTTGCAGTCTACAAGACATACTTTTAGAGTGTGAGACCAAGAGAAGTTTGAAAGTGAAATTCGTGTACTGCGGACGCTTATGACAAAAAAATTGACTAAGCAAACTTTAAACCTAATGTTTTGGAGCCAAATTTCACATAGGTTATTTGACTTATTGAAGGTGCCTAAGATAGGATTTGACTTGACAGAACAAATTTTTTTCTGTTTTCATGAGATAAACTGGTTTGTTGCATATAAAATATTTAGCTGACAGTTTTTTGAGTGGAAAAAAGAAAAATTCTGAAAAGTGGAGTTCACAACTGAAAAAAATGTGCCTCAGTTGCCATCTGCGACACACTCGTCGTCATGCCACTACCCTCCCTCCCCGACCCCTCTCCTCTCCCCCCATCTTATTTCATCAATAGATCACTGAGTAACATAAACTATTAATAAGAGGATAATGAGAATATTTTTTGAAGGAACTGACTATGTGTAAGAATAATAACTAGCCTATGGGAGAGTGATGCGAACCGGACGCGGCAGCGATGGCGGCAGCTGCGGCCGCAGCGGCTTGTTGTTGTTGCTGTGCAGCTGCCGCAATCAAGAGCTGATATTGAGCCAGAAATGCTGGATTCAAAGAACCGCCAGCGGCCAGCATTTGAACCGCACCCGCGGTGGTTGCCATCTGCGACGCTAGGTTGCTGCTGCTCGTCGTGGTGCCACTAGCGCTCGGCATGCCGCCTGCCGTAAATGAACACGTGCGTGGTGACGATGCGCACAACACACCAATCTCGCCGCCCGCGGCGAGTGACGCGGATGCGGCCTGCTGTTGTGCGTGTAGTAATGGTGAGGGCTGTTGTAGGTTGGTTTGCGATGAGGATGCAGATAGCGATGGAACGACAACCGATGATGCGTTCAACGCAGAAGATGGCTGTGCTTGTTGGGGTTGGGGCTGTGCAGGGGCTTGTAGCTGGGGAAGCTGTGGAGGGTTAGCGATCGGTGACGAGAACTGTGATGCGATTGATTGCTGATGGGGATGTTGACCGAAACGAAGTGATGTCGCTGATTGCTGCACAGAATATAAAGACTGTAAAGTAGGGATCTTAATGTCATCATTTTTTCTGGAATACAAAATGCATGGTTGAAAAGTGCAGAAATGATGAATAAACGACTGATTACTTGTAAATCAAACTGAGGCGGCCAGCCGCCTGTATGTTGTAAGGCTGATGAATGCAAAAATGGAAGAGAATGCGTGGACGGATCCCTCACTGCAGACGCCGGTACTTGTTGTGCTGAGGCTGCAGTAACCAATGGAAGTGTTGTCTGTGATGACGAAATAATATGAGCCACATGCTAGAAGAAAATAAAATTAATTAACTGAGACTGAACCTCAACCATTTAACTCATCTGAGTTAGAACATGGATTTCACCGCTTTACTATGGTCTTCTTCGACAGATGTGAATTGTGCGTTTCACTCATCTCTTCAATTCATAAGGAAACTGAAACTGTTGCGGCACCGGTTTAAACTCGACTAAAAATGTGGAATATGAAAAGACAATGAAAATGGTGAATCACTTGGCCATTAGGAGCAGCATCATCAGATTGCGGAAAAATGGCGCCGATTGTCGTTGGATGCTGTTGCTGCTGCTGCTGCTGAGGTGGTGCACGGAATGATGAAGCTGGGTTGCGCTTCTGTGGAGTGGCCCCACAATGCTGGCGGCCCCCTGGCGCACCATTCATAGAAATCGCATAGACGCGTTCGGGTGTTGTGCTCGACGCGTCGTTCAAAAATATTCCGTATCGATCCCTCTTCCAACCACCTCCGTCCGATCACCTATTTGTTCTATCGAAAACTGTTTTCTGCAACAAAATCGTATTCTTATCGATATTCGCAAAAAAAACAGCCAACAAAAACTCATGAACAGAATCATTTTATGCCTATTTTTAATCGTTAGGAATATCATAAATTTACAAACTCAAAACAGTACAGTAGTGCTCATATGCACTCAAAATTTTGAAACGTTGTGTGGCAAAACTCGTTTTACTTTTTTTTTTTGTTCATCAGTCGTCATTTACACTCGTTAGGAATTTTGATTTAAGGAAAACAAAACAACGATCTATGCAATTAATTGAACTTTTAATCTTGGAATTTTAAAAAAATTCTCAAAATTTCAAGGTGATAAATCAAAGTAAATTTCATATGAACGTCATTGGCACCAAACAAAAAACAAGGAAATATGATGCAAACTTGCCCGGTTACCAAAGAATTGGAACGAAAGTCCCTCGAACTAAGCCATCATGAAGTACAAGAAGAAAAGAATCACGAGAAGAAGAGAAGAACCATTATAAAATTTTTGTTCGAAACTTATCAGATTTGTGTAATCACCTTTTAGTCAATCATGAAAATTGAGCCGAACTGCCAACAACTGATCAAATCGTCAACCGCTCTTGATCAAGCACTGCAATAACGAAACTTCAGATGATTTAAATCAGATTATTCAATGCTTTTTCAAGGTGCGAACGATACGATGACAATAACATAATAAGCGTTCGAGACCGCACAAAAACTAGCAGTGAGCAGCAAGATAAGAGCTCCGTTCTTCTACCACTAATGAAATTATCTGATCAATATCCTTTGAACACTAGAGAAGTGGTATATTTGTTCTTGAGGAACTTGATGAACCATTTTAATCACACACTTTCATGTTGTATATGCATTTCGAGGAAAATAGAGTGAAACTCTTTGAAGCATTTCATGCATCAGTTATTTCAGTGATGACATGCGAGATAGCGCTATGTTCGTTTAAACAACATCGATTCATGCCAAATATTAATTTATCACATTTCATAAATGCATCCTCATTGGTATCTACCCTCACATTATTCGTCTGATTAACTGTTGCGTCTGCAAACTGAATCACTCTGTCATAGACGAATCTCTAGGATAGAATGGTTCATGAAACACGCATTTTCAAATTGAGTGAATGCCTATAGAACGAAACTCCTGACTGCAATAAATGACAGTACAAAAACGAGGTCTATGTGAAGGGTCAACATTGATAAAAAAGAGCTCGTAATTTTTAAGAAACAACCAAAAGAAATAAATATTTATGAGCAAGGAAACAAGAGGATTACATGTCGAGCGACTTCTTTCATAGCACTCTTTGCAATGTGAGCATAATTTCGTTGTCGAAAATGGATTTTTTTCCGTTTTCCCCAAATGGTTGCAATTTTCTTGACAAGCATCTTCATGTAAACAATAATCATCGACAATAATTTACTCTGCAGTTGAGGTAAGAAAATTCGGTTCAATTTCACAACAAAAACGTTGAAAAAGTGAAGGCATGTATTAAGTAAATCACATCAATGACACACGGTAACAACTTTTCGATGATCGATTGGTCGATGAACAGAGTAGTAATGACGTTTATCAACTTGCAAGATGGTTTTCTCGAAAATTATGGGCTATCGAGGCAAAAAATAAAGGAAGCACAAGTAAAAGAGAACACATCTCGATTGATGATCGTTGTTTTTTTTGGAACTGCTGATCGCTAGGATCATACAGATTCCAAGGATCAAGAGTGTGATAAAAGTTGACGGTAAACTACGGTGCTTAGTAACACAAATTTCTCAGCATAAAATTGATGAGCGTTAATAAAGTAGATTTAGAATCTACGAGTCTCTTACTACTTGGCAGCAATTACTGTATCGATGGCTGTAATCTAACTGCTTAAGAAATTGATAAAATACGCATCCGTGATACATCAAAAAATATCTTCATTCTGCGGAAAATACTCAGAATTTCCTCAATATTTTATCCAATGATAAAAGTACTTCTGTGAGAAACATCTTTTACATATGTCACTGCTAATACACATTCTGGGTGCCTATTAATAAAAAATCAGATGTTCATTTCTGTGGCGAAAATCTGATAGGCATTGTTGTATCCATAGTTCTTCGTCTTTAGCGAAGGAGCGACTACTTCGGCCTTGAAATGTCGAAAAAGTATACTTCATTCCGCAATGTTCAGTTGGAATTCTTTTGTATTGAATACTTATGAAACGTGTGTTACATCCTATTTATAACAGTTCGTTTTTGCATTTTCTTTTGCATGTATACGCCGTTACAGCCAACAGAGTAAGTTCGGAATCGTTCAAGTTGAATTAAATAAAAATAAAAGCTGCTATTTGTTAGCGTTCACCTTCGCCAAAACAACTCTGAATAGCTTACTAAGAAAGCATTGCATACACCTATGATATTTTGAAGTTAGATTTCTTCGCATCGAATTGATACTCCAAAACACGGTATGGAACTTTTGATAGGTTCACTTCCACATGTGGATGTATAAATAAAAATTATGGTGCATAAACACCCTCATAGATACTTCACCTTCATTATCAAACAGATGTCTGCTTTAGAGATGTGATTTTTTAAAAGTACTGAAAATCGGTACACATAATTACAACTGCATAAACTTATTTTGTTGTATTACGAATGAACATGCCCCATCAGAAAGATGATATTATTTTGTGCACTTATCTTGTAGTGTCTATTAGATTGTACCAAGAGTTGGTAAAGTCGTTGTAGGATTTCGAATGTAATTTCCGACCGAAGTGATCTTAGAAACGACAACTTTCTAGAACAATGTATTTACTAAAACGCTGAAGTTTCATTTTTGCATCGGATAAACTGTTGAAACAATGATTAGTGATAAGGTTTTTGTTGTGAAAAAAATAAATAAAAATCGACTTATACTAATCGTTGTTTTTATGGTAAAATTAGAATGAATTATTCTATTTGGAGAAGAGTTATATGGAAGAAAACGGAAAAAAACCCTTCACAAAAAACAATTAGTGAGTTTTGCTGAAAATTCATCAAAACTACTGACGATTTATATACGTTAAGATTTGTATCTGTTGTTTCAAAAATTAACTGTTCACAACTACGTATTACTTCAACAGTCACATAATGAATTTTACAAGGTTTCAATGTCTAAAGAAATAGATCCTTCTCAATTTGAATGAACTTTGCAATGAATTCATGAACATTTCTTATATTTACTATTCAAAAACATCGGATTGCGATGAGAAAGATCCACTGAGAGTAACTGACATAAGAGGGTGAAAGAACGACGGTCTCAAATGTTACTGATGCTGGAATTAAAATATCCGCCTTTCTGCGTATATGTGATTAATAAATGCTCAAATCTCTTGAAATACCTATGTCGCAAATGACGGTTGAATTGCTTAAGAGTGAGAACTGCTTAAGGGAACTGGAAAACACGGTCGATCGAAATTCCACATTTCGTAGATAGATTCAGAACAGCATGAATTCCTTCAGATGAAGCTATCATTCTCAGAGCCACGTATTCATCAGACGTTCGATTTGCAGCAGAAACGATACACTACGCAATTATTTTCGTGAATTGCTTTTTTTTTCATTTTTTGATCTCTCAAAAGCAGAACTTCGCATTATGAGACACTGAATTAAAGAGGTTCAAATGATGACAAAATGAAAGGATGTGCTACGTGTCCTAAACCCGAATGATCATCAACGTACGGGACAATAAATAAAAAATCAGACACGCCACTGAGTGAATTCGAATCATAAGAATTCAAGAGATGGTGAATAAAAAAGAAATCATCATCTTATCAAGGTGGATGTCAGTGAATAGAACTCAAGTATACATTCTCAGCTTCAATGAAATTGATAATGGAATTAGACAGGAGAACATTTGCTTCGTCGAGCTCGTCTTTGTGAACAATGTAAAACTGTAGATGTGATAATTTGATAGTCCGCAATAATTTGTTGGTACTGACAAGGAGGATTTGATTAGTCTTCATAACTGATTCAGATAAAACCAACACCAATCGAAAGAGCATAAAAACTTGTTCTCATGATCATTCTCATTTTCTGCCCAATCGACCGCTGGATCGATAGAAACGGGACCAAACGCAGCAAAATTTGTCATGAAGGATTTTTTTGAATGCCATCAGTGATTTTTATATCAAGCGGAACTTGGGATCAACTGGCTTCGATCAACTGGCCTATATCAAATTTATAGTAACTTGCTCAGTGGCCGAATGGCTGATAGAAAATAATATGAAATATAAACTCCGGGTTCAATTTCCTGCTGCGTTTTTTTGTGATTTTCAACTATTGATGATGAAACAATTACAGGTTTCGAAGCTCATACTTGGAACTTCATTGTATGAGTGAGTTTGTCCTAACAGAAATTTACATGACGAAGGCATTTTCCAATGCCTTATTATAGAACACTGTAATTTCTCAACTTTGCATTGTGATGAACATACGTCATTGTTTGATTCGACATCACTGTCTGATGTCATTGTCGAGTAATTGCGAGTACAACATTGCTTCTACATGCATACTTTGGACAACGCATTTTTGGAAACGAGCGTAGATTCTGGAGTTTGAAATTATGACAATAAATACAGCATGTTAGGCAGAGTATTCGATAAAGACGGTAACTGATAAATTCTCCTCGGAGATCATTTTTCTGGTTCCGGTCGGTGGCATTGCAATTCGGAGGCCGTTGATCCAACTTTAGTACTCGATACCATTCAGAATATCATTCGCAGCTTCTGACACCTGTCCAGTTTACGTTTGCCAAAGAGGTCGCAGACGAGTATGAAGAAAAAACTATGACAACCTTTCCAACAATCCAACAAATTAACCCACTTTGATAAAGACTTCATTTGGAGATGTTTATAGCAAAT